CTCTTAGCCACACAAAAATTTAATTTTTTTTTTAATTTTATATTATACAATAATTTTTTTTTTTATACTATATAATATTTATTTTTTTTTTTTTTCCATTTTATTTTTTTTCTTTTTCATTTCTTTTTAGTTTCTTTTTTAATTCATAAATTATTTTTTTTTCATCTTCAATTTTCCTCATCCTAGATCTTTGCATTCGAACTTAAAACCTTTTAATTCCTACTGATCCTACTAAAACCTTTATATCCTACTGAAACTTGCCTTTAAATCGCACTGTTTCTACATCATTCTTTCTTGGTTTTAATCTGCAACTTTTACCTTACTGAATTCTATCTTTATATCTTTTTTAAACAATTCTTTGCAAAATGCTCTTCTACACCAACGTGACGGTGATCCTTCTGCTCTCAACTCTCTTCAATCTCCAATCTCTTGTACGATCAAAACCAATAACTCCTGGTAATCATTATTGTTTTAATCCTTCATTAACTTTACATCTCTTCAGTTTGGGTTCTAAAGTGCTCTTCTAATACGAATCCTCCTAGGGTTGGTGATAAACTAAGTTGCTACTTTGACTCACAGACATACAGTTCTAAAAAAAAAAATACTATTGCGGTAAAACAAATTAAAACATATAAATTTTTATCAAAAAAACCTAAAAAAAAATTTTTTTTTTATATTGCAGATTTATCAAAATAATGTTCTTAAAGTTCAAAGCCAACAATTATCAACTCAGAAGGGAAATTATGAATTTACTTCCACTGATAATTTATCTAAAGGCCCAGTTGAATTTAGATTTTTAAGTTTTAAAAAAAAATCTCAAGCTACTTTTACTTCTATAGTCTTACAGGAAAAGTTAATACCTACAAAAGCTACATCTTTTACTAACTCAAAATCCACTACTACCTCAAGATCCACCACATCCACCTCAAAATTTACTGCATCTACTACCAATTCTGTCTCTACTACTAATTCTGTCTCTTCCTCCTCTAACCCTGCAACTACCTCGACCAGCTCTACCTCGACCAGCTCCACCTCCTCAACTACCTCAACTACCTCAACTACTACCTCAACTACTACATCAAATACCTCAGCTACCTCAACAACCTCTGCCTCTTCCACTACAATCCCAACAGCTTCATTTAGTTTAAGTAAATTTAAACTTCAATTGCCTGTGGGTCCTTCATCTGATAAAATTCTTGAAATTAGTAACAGCAAGCTTTCTTCCTATTCTAGTGAATTCTTTTTTTTAAATCAAGAAAAGACTGGTAAATTCATTTATATTATATATATTTTTTTTTAATTATGAAAAAAAACAAAAAATTAGCTTATGTTTTTCACACTCCAGTTTGGCCAGAGAAAACAAACGATTTGGTACCAGCTCGTACATCCGGTACCAAAACAACTAGAACAGAATTAAGAGAATATCCAGCTGAGTGGAGTTACGACTCTGGCACTCACTTCATGTCACTGACCCAGGCAGTAACTAAAGCTCCACAAAAAGATGAAGCACAAAATTCCAAAGCTAATCAAATAATTATTGGGCAAGTGCTCTGTGGAAGTAATCCTACATTAAATATTAGATATTACACAGGAAATAGAATTGTTGCCATGTTAAACGACGTGAATGACGAAGTTCCCTTGAATTTAGTTACAAATTACGTTCTAGGAACTAGATTTACAATTGATATCGTGATTTCAAATGGTTTAGCTACCGTTTCATACAACGGTGTTAAAAAAGTTACAAATCTTGGAATTAATACTGACTTTTCAAGAACTAACTGCTACTTCAAAGCTGGTGCATACAGTCAAGTTACACCTATTACTTCAGGATCTGATTCAAATAACATTAATTCTCAATATTCTGAAGTTTTACTCTATGATATAAGTACTTCACATAAATAAAGTTTATCAAAATTTCTCTTTTTTTTTTCTTGGCTTTTTAATTATTTATAAAAATGCATTTTAGATTTTAGATTTAGATTATAACTTTTTTATGATTTTGTTTTTCATTTTTTTTCCCCTCAATTTTTTTTGTAAAAATATTATATAAAAAAAAAAAAAAAAAAAAACTGATACAACTAATAAAAAACCAACTTTAATTTTAATTTATTTTTTATTTTATTTTTATTTCATTTCATTTTATTTTATTCAGAACTTCTGAAAGTAACTTCTGTAAAGGTCGTCTTATGTGTATGAGCGTTTTACTAAAATATAAAAAACAAGATGAGTCTAAAATAGATCAACTTAGTAAGTCTTTTATTAATTGAACAAACAAGCAAGGGTTTACAGTAAAGAAGAAACCATTGTAAAATACATGATAACATAACTACTATCCACACTACTACTTCAGTACATTAAACCTTTGATTCATTACTACTAGTTGTGGAATTCTAGAGAGCAAGATGTGAAAATTCATAACTGGCGATTAAGAAAATTGAAATTCCTCGATCCAACGCCCAAGTCGGGAATAGGATACTGTTTGTTAGCTAGGATTTTAACTAGTTGTATTATCTGTATGAACTGTAAAAGGTCGTCCAAAAACATAAGTGCGCCACTTTCGTAAACATTGCAGTAACGCTAACACTTTCCGTTTATACTGCAGGTAATTCTGTTCAACAGCTTAAAATTACGGTATTCAGACGGTATCGCATAATGGTTCTTGCCATTGTCGTGGATGCTAATATCATAAAGCGGTAAGGTATCCTTGCTGATTTTACCACTCAAAGAAGTTTATGGTATTCTGTGCTTTCTATTGAGTTCTCCTTTTCAATAGTCGCCTATTTGGATTTTTAATCCTTCACAATGGCTACATAAGTGCAGCTAAACTTTTGGAAATTACAGTAATTTAATTGCATTAAAAAAAAAATTTTTTAAGGTTGAGTAGCCAAGTGGTCTAAGGCGCCACGTTAAGGCCGTGGTATCTCCGGATGCGCGGGTTCGAGTCCCGTCTCAGCCATTTCTCTTTCTAGTTTTTTTAAGGGATAAATAAATTTTTCCATTTTTTGTTTTATGCAGAAACCATCAACATTCTTACGGAGTTTTTCATTATTTAACTGACTATATATAAGAAGTAATTTTTGAATTCATATTCGAATTTCTTACTATTATTATTGTTATTATTGATTTTCATTTTTCATTTTTTAACCGGTTGTTGACAATGATGTTTGAACGGGTAAGAGTTTAATTTAGGTGTAACAAAAAAAGCAAAAAAAAAAAAAAAGGTTTGTAGATTTGTCAAACTTAAATGAATGGTATACTGTAATAAATTTTAATACACAAATTATAGATAGATAAAAATTATATGATACTAATTTACACATAATGTTGTCTCCTCAACTTATTATATCTAATTGCGGGTGGTACATAAGTGGGTGGTACAGAAACTTCCTTTTGTAATGTTTTAAAGTTTCCAAAAGTTATTTGTAATTGGTTTTTTAACTCGACATCGAAAATACTATCTAAATAAGGTTTAATAACGGCATCTTCTTCTTTTCTAGTAAATTCAAATAGATGAAAACTTTCAATCAATCTTTTAATGACTTTAATAAGTTTTTGAGTAGCCACTTCTGGATCCTCTTCACTTGCTACAATAGCCCAATTTTTTAACATTTCAAATTTTTGAGCATATTTGCAAGTTGATAAACCGATTAAAGCGAAAATTAAATTTTCATTGAAACTTTTAAGCAAAGTATAGTTTTGATCATTAGAAAATATATCTTTTTCGATACACGAAGTACATTCTCGTAAAACAGGCATATTGCCAATCGCATATGCTATTTTAAAAAATTCGTACGAGTTGCTTGTTGAAATTTCTTATAAAAAATATTGTAAGTATATCATTTAATGACAAATAAAAAAAAAAAAATTGAGTGCAACATTTAAATAGTACCTTCACTGCAAAAATCGCATAAACTCAAGATTTCAAGGTAGTTGGCTGCTTCATAAACTTTAGGAATCAAGTGCTCTTCGACATAAATGTTTTTAGTGTATATATACTGCAGAATTAGTTCAATTATTTCAACATCAAAGTTCAAATGCTCTATAACTATTTTTTCTTTGTTTTGGTTCCAATGGGTATTAAATGCTGCTTTGTAATAGTTGGATTCCATTGCCAATATAACACGATGAACATGAATTTTTTTTTTACTCGCACCTACTACAAGAGTAACATCAGAATACTCTGGAGCGTTAATACAATTTTTTAAACAAAGATTCTCAGTAATTTTCATATAAAAAAAATTGTTTTTTTTTTTAAAATAATATTAAATTAACTTATATTTGAAAACAAATCACAACTTCGTAAAACAAGGTAAAATTTCTATTTTTTATTTTGAAACGTAGTTCATCTCTCTGTACACTCCATAATTCTTTGGCCAAAAAAAAAATAGTACTTAACTCAAAAAAACATTTTCCGTCTTATTTAACTCTTGAAAGCGAATACAATTTTTTAAGGCCCTTTGAATTTAAAGCTTATTTTTTGATAGCAAAAAACTTGAATAGATATAGTTGGAACATATCAAACAAGAAAAGTTTAAAGGGAAGCAATTCATATTATAATTAGAAAAAAAAAAATTATTGCTAAAATAGTTAACTTTTCATAATTAAGGGCCACTCCACTGAGAACAATTATATGTAAGATTTGCTAAAAAGTTTGTAATGGTTTGGTGAAGATTAATCTAAGAAAATTAAAAAAAATTTTTGTATCAACAAATATTAATAGGGCAATAAATTCATTTACCATCTGTAGGTGATTCCTTTTCTAAAAATTTTTATTTAATAATGTTTTATTGAAAATAAGGAAAAAGAAGAAACTTCATCATTACTCTCAAAATTTTTTAAATTACAAATTCAGTGACATCAAAACACTTAAAATTTCAGGGTAGTGCATGGACGTAGTTTTTCAACGTCTGACAAAAAACGAAATTAAATTTAATGTTACACAAAAAATTACCTCATGCACCATTTAAGGGCGAGAGTAACGAAAACTACTCAGGAATAATTGGAATGATAGCTCTTAAGAATCTCGCAGGACGACCTTCACCAGCCAATATCTCCTCTACTATCGACTTTTGGTTCAAAGTAGCAACGTCATCACGATTCCA